ATATTCCCCCTTAAGGAGCTGAGAGTCTAACAGAGAAAGGAAAACTGTAAACAATAAGGTAGTTTGTAGGATGGAGTTGCAGGGAAGTGGGATACTGACATGACCAGGTTTGCATTTTAGTAAAATCGCTTGAGTGGAGAGAGGTGAAGTTGAGGCCAGTGAGCTTGGAGAGAGACGGTTCATGATTGGAAGAAAAAGAAGGATACAAGGGAAGGTTCCTGATTTCTAGTCTGGGGACCTGAGTGGAAAATGATAGTATTTATTTAGAAAATCATTCTTCTGTTGGAATAAGAATAGATTGAAGGACAAATCAAATTAATTTTGATGGTCAGTTGGAAGGGTATTTACTTGGGTGATGTTTTTAATATAGGATTCAGAGTTCAGGAGAAAGGCCAGGCAGGGGTGCGGTTAGATAATTCTAGTTGCCAGGAAGTAGACGACTATAGAAGCCATGGGCTTGGATTCCACTGCCTGAAGAAAAGGAGATTGAATCCTAATCTCTAGATAAATTTTCTGCCAGAAGAAGACATGTGAGTCAATCAAGGAGAGTCACTAGACTCTTAGAAAACCAGTTTTCCTGAAGTTTCCCCAGAAGAAGTAAAAGGATGTGAAGAGATTAGAAAACCATTTTATGTAGTTTCTTTATTTGTAACATTCACTAATTGGAGAGATTTAGTAGTCGGAACATTAGCTTCCTTTATTTAGATCCTTCTGAGGAACTTTACAGGTTTCCTAAATATTCTTTTCTTTTTTTAAAACATTCATTTATTTATTTATACAAGCACTGGGTACAGTCAGAGGTGTGGGAGGGTGAGAAAATTCACCAGAACCAGAGCCGGGAACAGAACAGGCAGACTGATGAAAATACACTGCTGAGGGGAGCAGCGGGCAGCAGGAGAGGTCTGCACGCCGTGTAGGACCCTTGCCGGTGGCCGGGGTTCGAACCGTCGCTGCAGAGGCTGTGGGCAGCTTCGCAGCCCAGCGTTCAACCGCTGCGACACTAGGGGAGGCCCTTCTTTTCTTTTTTTTTTTAAATTTATTTACTTTTGCATACAAGAGCTGGGGTACAGGCCAGAGATGCAGGGGGTGAGAGGATTCACCAGAGACAGAGCAGGGAACAGAACAGGCAGACTGACTGAAATAAACTGCTGAGCAGAGCAGCAGGCGAGACAGGAGAGGTCTGCCTCGCCATGTGGGTTGCTCTCTGGCGGGCCGAGGATCGAACTCGTACTGCAGAGGCTGTGATTGCTTCACAGTGCAGTGCTTAACCCCTTGCGCCACAAGGGAGGCCCTTCCTAAATTTTCTTAGGGCTAAAATAATTTTGTATTATTTTTGGAAGATGAGAGTATTTTGAACATCAAGCCTTAAACTTAAAAGTTTAGGATGAAGGTGTCTTAGCACCAATAGCCTGTTTTAAATGTGCTGAAATAAAATTGGGACTTTAAAAATAGAGGATTAATTTGTGCATTGTTCCCATCTGTTTTGTGAGGTCACAGGGTAAACCAGACTAGACAATACAAATGTCTTTGAAGTCTAAGGACCTATGTGGCATGTCCATGGGATGCTTAATTTGTTTCCTTCCTGCATCAGGTTCCTGTTGGTGCCAGTTAAACCTTTGGTGTCCCCTAGTTCATCTCCAGGGTCACTGCAGTGGGTTTTTTTTTCCATGTCAGGAAAATTGAGTGTGTGAGTCATCCATAATTCTAAAACCTCCTTTCTCTTTTTCTCCCCCTATTTATTACTGCTCTCCCTTGAAGCTGTATGCTTTTTATTCCAGCACTTACAGAAAGCTCTGTCTGTTGACCACTGCTCTTTGAAGTTTTGAGATGCACTAAAATATTTATAATGTGGGACAGTACTTGAAAAGGATTTTAGTTTCTATAAGATGTATCTCTTGACTTACTGAGGCCTTTTTGATGATAAAGACTCACATAGGGTTTCAGATCAAGGGTTGCTTAATTTAGGGAACACCTCTTTGACATTGGTCAGCAATTGCATACTCATTAAAGAATCAACCTGGATCTCCTCTGGAGGAGACGGCAACAGCTCTGCTTCTTGGTTGTGGCCATGCTGATTGTGCTGGCAGTGGACTCAGCTGCCGCACTCACAGATGTTTTTGTCAATGCCTTGTACTAGAGATGGCAGCAAAGAGACTTGGTATTTACTACTAGGAAGGTCCCCTGGGCTCTTGTGACCTCACAGGAGTCAGGAATTGTTCTCACTCATCCTTAGACCCTCAGCCTGGTTTGCAGGCATGTTGGAGCCTCCATACACATTATCTGCTCAGTGTTGGAAGTTGAGCAGCAAATAACAATATGCCAAGTAAAGAATTTACTGCTTCATGGGAGAGTAGTGGAAACTGGGAAGAAAAGAGAAGAGGTGGCCCATGCAGTTTCTTTCTTTACTGCACCAACTGCAGATGCCAGAGTCAAATCCAGAGTCTACAAGGATCTAAAATAAACTGTGACTAGTGGGAAGGGGCAGCTCTTACATCTCTCTCCTTAGGGTGACACTTCTTCCAGATGATTGGTTAACAAAAATATTCAAAATAAGTGAATTGATTTGAGGCTTCTTGAAACTGAAGTTTTTTTTTGGTGTCTTGGGCCCATAAGCCATGGGATGTGAATTGCTTTAGAATGTCAGTCTCAGATTTCTTACCATCTACAATTATGTAGTAGAATGTGGGACTTGATAGATGAATTATAAAATACCTAAAGGATAAAATAAAATACCAGATAGGCATTAAAAATCCTATTTTCAAATGACCTTTATTATAAGGGAAAATTGTCACTATGTTATGTTATATGATAAAGCAAGAAACTATATCTTCATATCATATCTATATAGGAGATATATCTTCTATATTTATATATCTATATAGATATCTTCTCTCTCTCTCTCTCTCTATATATATATATATATATATATCCTCAAATAAATTCATTTTGAATAAATGAACATTGCGTAGATGAATGAGGTAAAAGCCATATGTAGTTATATATATATAATATGGTTATATATATTGCTATATATATGGTTATATATGGTTTTTTATATATGGCTATATATATTGTTATATATATGGTTATATACAGTTATTATATGGTTATATATATTATATATAAGAACTATATATATAAAGTTGGCAAAAAATAGGAGTCCATATTGTAGACTTCAAAATATGAGATTCTTTGACTCCTGAAATGAAACTTCATAGACTCACTCACATTGACTAGTGGTCAAGAAATCTGGGTGTTGTTCAAGTGTTTGACTGTCTTGGAGCTCAGTTTCCTTATCTGAAGATGAGTAGTCTCCTCTAGAATGGTCAATTAGGGGCCCGTTTGGGTCCCACATGCTCCGAGTTGTGATTAGAGGCTGTAGACACGACAGCTGTCATCGAGAAGGGTGCTGCCAGACGGGGCTCATATGGTTCTCATCACTTCATCAGCCAGACTTCATCAACCTTGACCTCCTATTGTTTCCCATCATTTTATGTGATTGTCTTGAGTTTCTACCTCCTGAGCCACTCCTTGCTGGCTGTGTAAAGAGGCCTCTTGATTTATTAATCAATTAATCAGTGCATGCTGAGGAGCTGTTCAGGGTAGTTAAACAGGGAAAACAAAATGCTGAAGCCCCTAATCAAGATGAATCATAATTAAGAACGCCCCTCCCACTCCTGCTATTCCTGCTCCCCCCACCCCGGGCTCACCACCACCTCCCTCACCAGCAGGTCGTCAGACCCTATACAGCTTGATGGGGGATCTGCCCCATTAAAGTTGATGGTACATTTCAGAAAGGCAGATATTCTTCTAATGTCCTAGAGGAAAATAAACCTTGAGATGAGTCTCATCGATTATTTGCAAAAACTGCTGAATCTCAAAAGTTCAACCAGACTTCCCACATGATATCATGATTCTGTTCACACATAGAGACACTGGACTCTCCTGCCTCAGTTTCCCTCCCAGCATTGGGGAACTAGATGGACTTTACAATGAAAAGTAAAGCCTGGCCTGTCTCACAGATGAGATTTACTTTGAGATTAAGTAAACTGCCCAAGGTCACACAGCTAATTAGTCACATAGCTAATTAGTAGCACGGAACTGGAACTAGAACTCAAGTATGTTAATAGCAAATCAACACTCTTGGTGCCTGTTTCTTGGTGCAGTCTAACTTTCCTGTAAAAATTAAAGCATGGTGAATGAGAAGTATTTTTAATAAATTACTGTCTGATTTCTTTAGATATGAACTTCTGAGTTAGAGTTTTTAACAGTAGTTTTAGATGAAGTTTCTGGACTGTTTGTCATGGAGATAGTTTTCTTTTAATTGGTCAGGATATCAGATGGATGCAGACACAGACAGCTTGCCATGGGGCAAATGATAAACAGAGTGAGTCTGTAGGGGGTTACTGGGCGGCTGAGCAGTGGCCAGACTCTGGTCCAGAGCCTGTTTATTTTGGTTTATTTCCAATGGCACTTAGCACACACTGCTAATGAGGCCAAGATTTTCTTAAACTCTCTGCTCCGGGTCACAAGTGGCACTTCCATCTGTTACCAATTGTTCACAGGTCACGGGACCACGGGGCCATGATGCATTGGTCCAGAATGACTGTCCTCACCCCCATTGTGCCCAGACAAGTGTTTGTATCTACTTAATGAACCCCTTGGGAGGATCCAGATATGGCTATAATTCTTTAGTGGACATAAGGAGAAGAATCTGGAGTGTTAGTTGGCCTGGTGAGGAGAATGCTTAGAAATCTTCAAAGTGTTAATTCCCTAAAGTCTTTGCTGTACAAATCTTCTATTTGTCAAATGTGTTTGTCAACGGAAGGCTCTTCTGCCAGTCTGACTGCTCATTTCTGTTGGATGTCAATCAAACAATCAAAATTCTTAGGATATATCCAGGGCTTAATTCATAAACTAGACTTCTGCATTACATTTGCCAGCCTTGAATTATAGGCTCTGTTTTTTTTTTTTTTTTCTTTCTCTTGTGTGTTCTCCAGGACCCTGCTTTCTCAGCTGTGATTCATGACAAACTCCAGGTGCCCAATACCATCCGGAAGGCATGGAATGACAGGGACAACCGCTGTGACATTTGTGCCACTCACCTGAACCAGCTGAAGCAGGAGGCCATCCAGATGGTGCTGACCTTGGAACAGGCAGCTGGCAGCGAGCACTATGATGGCTCACCTGGCTCACCTCCACCCCTCGCCAATATTCCTACTCTGGTGGGGTCCCGGCATGTAGGTGGGCTCCAGCAGCCCAGGGACTGGGCCTTTGTGCCCTCCTCCTATGCAACCTCTGCCTACACAGGCTTCGTCACCAGCAAGCATAGCAGCAAACCCAACAGCCTTGGCGTCAGCAATGGGGCGGAGAAGAAGAGTGTGTCCCCAACCCACCAGGCCAAGGTCAGCCTCCAGATGGCCACCAGTCCCAGCAATGGGAATATCCTCAACTCAGTAGCCATTCAGGCTCACCAATACCTGGATGGTACCTGGTCCCTGTCCAGAACCAATGGGGTCACCCTGTACCCTTATCAGGTAAGTAGCCTCTGGGCAAGTAGCCTCAGGGTTGGCTCGAGTCAAAGCAGACACGTGGACAGCACTTATCTTGGCCACTCTTGTCCTTCTGGGAACTCCTCGGCTCGTAGTCTAATGTTTCCATGTGACCTCACTGGGCATTGATAAATAAAAATAAAATATATTAGGGAGCAGGGACAATACTGGCACTCTGCTCACATTTCTATACCATGTCAAAGAGGTGCAGGTACCCTTCCAAACTCTCCTACCCTGATGGATCTTCACCCTTTTCTATTTGTAACTCACACTAAATACTGTTGGGATTAGTTTACCAAACATGTTACCCGCCTCCTCCTCTTATTTCACTTTTCAGTTATTTAAATTAACAGTACCCCTCGGTTTTCCTATAGGAATTAGACAGCAAGTCTTACTTAAATCTGCTGAGAAATCTAAAATAATTGTCTAATTTTTTTCTTGGGTACGTTTTCTATTGTAGGAGGGTTTGCTATATGTGTTCTCTGTGTTCCCTGCATCAGTTGTATGTGAAGCAGCCGGAAGCTCTGAGTGTCATTGGGAATGGAGAGGTAGCCATGGACATGCAGTTTATCAGTCAGGGAAGAAAACTGGTATAACAAGTGATCACAGGTCATTTCTCACTTGTATCCCTGTTACATTGAGTGTGTGGTGGGTGGCCTTCTGCTGTGGCACAGGGACTCAGCTTCTCCATCTGTCATGTCACTATCATTCAGAAGCCAGGAGCTTTCCACCAGACCTTTCATAGGCAGCCAGGAAATGAGAAAAGAAAGAGATTGTGTGAAGGATCTCACAAGGGGGTTTGGGGAACCCAGCCTGGAAGGGGGCAGGCATAACCATTACAAGAGTGCAGTTCCCTGCCTCCACCTCCCCTCAGGAAGTTGGGAAAAAACAAACTATCCCTGTGACCAGAAGAAAAAAAGAAACAAATTGGGTGAATACATAGCATAGATTCTGTTACATGGAAAGGCACAGGGAAACAAAAAATGAGTTACGTGCGACTGATAAAATTCCTGGTGAGCTTTCTAGAGTGTGAGAGGGAAGTAGATTGTTTCTCTTGATAGATATCATGAAAGAAAGTGGGGAGCATGAGTGTGTTGGGCTGTTAAATTTTTCATTTATGGGGTCTTTGTAGTTTATTTTTTAACTATTTAAAAATATTTTTATTTATAGGCCTCCCCCGTGGTGCGGCAGGTTGAGAGCCGCGCTGTGAAGCTGTCCACAGCCTCTGCAGCACCGGTTCGATTCCTGGCCAGCCAGGAGAAACCCACATGGCGTGACAGACCTCTCCTGTCACGCCCGCTGCTCCCCTCAGCAGTGTCTTCGGTCTGTCTGCTTGTTCTGCTTCTGCTCTTTCTCCGGTGAATTCTCTCACCCTCCTGCACCTCTGACCTGTACCCCAGTTCTTGTATAAATAAATAAATCTTAAAAAAAAAAGATTTTTGTTTATTTATGCATACAAGAACTGGGGTCCAGGCCAAAGGTGCAGGGGGTGAAAGGATTCACCAGAGGACAGATTGGGGAGTAGGCCAGGGGTATCTACTGAAATACCCAGCTGAGGGGAGCAGTGGGTGAGACAGGAGAGGTCTGCTGTGCCATGTGGGTAGCTCCCTGGCAGGGAATTGAACTCATGCTGCAGTGGCTGGCAAGATAGCTTCCTAGTACTGAGACTTTAACCCCTGCACCACCAGGGAGGGTCTTGCTTTGTAGTTTATAAAACATAGGACAAAAGAGAGGAAAAAAAACAAAAACATAGGGCAGATATAATTTTATTTAAACCCACAACAGGCCCATGAGGGGGTTAGAGCAGTTGTTAGGTCTTCCTTTTACAGATGGGAATGTGATGCTTAGAGGAACTGAAAAAGCAGTGGCCACACAGCTTATGACAGAAGTAGCAAGGCTCTCCCCTGCCCAAGAGAACATGTTCCTATCCAAACTGCTTCCAATTTTCCCAGCCTATCCCAGAGCAGCCTTCAATCAACTTCTTTAGGCTTGTCACACCAAGGAAAAGGACCTGGTTACCATTTTACTTTTGAGCAGAATATTCTGACTTGTGGATATAAATATAGTGAGAAAGCTGAGGTACCCTCGGTGGGATTTCATAGACTAATACTTGAATATAACTGTCTAGGGCAGGAACCAGAATAGCTTCTTTCCATAACTGATTCATTGAGCTTTTGTTGTTGTTGTTTGTAATTTTAAAATATATTGTTTTGAAATTTATAAAAAGTTATGCAAGTGTGTTGCAAGCTAAAATTCGAAATCCTTGAAGCAAGATTTTATTTTATTTTTTTTTTATATTAAATTTTATTTTTATATTCCCCCATACAATTGCAAACGCCCCATTCTGACCCCAATCCTTCCCCTCCCGCCCCCCACCCCCCAACAAGTGTCTCTGGTTCATAGTTTTTTGTTGATTTTGATTTTCACTTTCTTATATTCATTTTCCTGGTCCCTTATTTAAGTTTTCTAGATTCCTGCTATGAGTGAGACCATCCGGTATTTTTCTTTTTCTTTTTGGCTTATTTCGCTGAGCATGATCCCTTCCAGCGCCATCCATGTTGCTGCAAATTGCATGTGTTTATCTTTTTTGAATGCTGAGTAATATTCCATGGTATATATGTACCACATCTTCTTGATCCAGTCACCTATTTTTGGGCATTTGGGCTGTTTCCAAAGCTTAGCTATTGTAAACAGTGCTGCTATAAACATAGGAGTGCAGGTGCTCTTTGGAATTGATGTTTCTGTGTCCTTTGGGTAAATACCTAGGAGTGGAATTGCTGGATCATATGGAAGCTCTATGTTTAGTAGGTCCAGAAATCTCCACACAGCTCTCCATAGTGGTTGGACCAGTTTGCACTCCCACCAACAGTGCACAAGAGTTCCTTTTTCTCCACATCCTCGCCAACATTTGTTGTTGCTAGTTTTTTTAATATGTGCCATTCTCACTGGTGTGAGATGGTATCTCATGGTAGTTTTGATTTGCATTTCCCTGATTACAAGTGATGTTGAACATTTTTTCATATGTCTGTTGGCCATTTGCATTTCCTCTTCAGAGAAGTTTCTTTTTAGCTCTTCTGCCCATTTTTTGACTGGATTATTTTCTTTGTTGTTGCTGAGTCTCATCAGCTCTTTGCAGATTTTTGTGATCAGTCCTTTATCATTAGTGTTGGGTGCAAAAATGTTCTCCCAGTTGGTGGGGTTTCTCTTTGTTTTTGTTATTGTCTCTTTTGCTGTGCAGAAGCTCTTTAATTTGATGTAGTCCCAGCTGTTTATCTTTCTCTTCACTATCACTGCTTTGGGTGATGTGTCCGTAAAGATGTCTTTGATGTGCAAATCCCGTAGTGTTTCGCCTATATTTCCTTCTATGTATTTTATGGTTTCAGGTCTTATGTCTAGTTCTTTAATCCATTTTGAGTTGATTTTTGTGTATGGTGTGAGGTGGTGGTCAAGCTTCATTCTTTTGCATGTAGCGACCCAGTTTTCCCAGCACCATTTATTGAACAAACTTTCTTTGCTCCAATGCATAGTCTTTGCTCCTTTGTCAAAGATTAGTTGACCATAAGTCTGTGGGTTTATTTCTGGATTTTCTATTCGATTCCATTGGTCTGTATGTCTGTTCTTGTTCCAATACCATGCAGTTTTGATGATTATGGCTTTGTAGTAGAGTTTGAAGTCTGGGAGTGTGATGCCTCCATTTCCTTCTTTTTTTTTCAGTAGAGCTTTGGCTATTCGGGGTTTTTGGTGATTCCATATGAATTTCATCAATAATTGTTCTATTTCTTTGAAGAATGAGACTTTAAAAATCAACATGACACAGAGTCAGTGTAATATTTGGGTTTATTTCCTCCAGTATTTAATGCAAATAAAATTTGTAAAATTGTGATTATGTTCAGTTCTGTGGTCTGGTTTTCATTTGCTAACCTAGGTGCATATTCCTGTGCCTAGTCTATATTTTTCTAAAATATGATCTTTAGTAGTAGCATAATTTTCCATCATATAAATCCTATCCCTATTTGAATAGTCCTAGTTTCTAGGACTACACTAAACATCAGTGTAGAATTAAGGTTTTTGCTACTATAAATAAGATGCTCTGGTCACATCTTTCTACCCAGGTCATCTCTTTGATGCGTCCCTGGCTGTGCTAGCCACACACTCAGCTTACACATGCAGCTCACAGTTCACCTTGCAGGGCCTCAGAGCAGTTTTAATGTGTATCAGGTGCTTGTTAGAAGGCTCAGCTGAGGTACAGAGCTAATGAACAAGAGCAGAAGACCTTGCAAGTTATGTTTTCAGATAAAATATTCAAAATTGGGGAAATTTTGCACACAAGAGAAAAGCTAAAGATGCTACTTAGAGGAAAGATCCATCGTGCATTTCTTTTACTTGTGCAGCGATTCTTTCTGATTCTCCTCTTTTTCCTTTGCCTCAAGTGATGAAGGATTTCCTGTACAATAGCAAATTTTGTTGAATTCTGCCAGACAGTATGCTAGGAATTGAGTGGGGCTCCCACCTCAGATGGGAATCCAGGTTCCTGTTCTGTGACCCTAAGGGGAGGAGGCTGTGAACTGCCCATTATAAGACAGGGAGGCGAGTGCCAGGGTAGAGGCACACTGGCTGCCTCAAGAGCACATAGAATAGCATGCAGTCCAGTAATGGAACAAGAGTGGGATGACGTGTCCAAAAGCCAGCTATTAAGATAATTTATGCAAACCACTAACTTAAAATCGTCCTGGGTAAATTTGATTGCTTCTCTCCAAGTCCAGAACAGGCTAATTCATGCATTTCCCCTGACTAATAGTTAAAGGGATCAGAGGAAATCTCTCCAGGATAAAGAGATTTGGTGCCTGGCTGTGAATTAGTGTCCCTGTGTTGTGACAGTGTCATCCTGATGCCGTGGGGTGGGGATTCCGCGTCTGGCTAGACTGAGTGTCTCCTGTTAGGGACATCTCCCTGCAGTAAATATTCTGCAGTCACAGTCTAGCCAG